GCAGTGAGAAATACACTCAATCTGTTCTAAGGGAGCAACTGTTAATAGCAGCTGACAGACAGGTCCTGCTCTGCATTATTTATCTACAAAATAAAAAAAAGCACTTATTTTTATCTCCCTTGCACTGAAATTTTGGGGACATTGTTTTAAGAGTTTTTTTGGGCATTGATTTTCAGTGCATATTTATTTCCCAACAAAAATTCTACATTTCTGTTGAAGGAAAACCATAAATGACCAGGCTTGTCATTTATGTTTCCAGGATATATTCCAGAGGAACCTGAAGGCCTCTGAAAACTTGTTGAAGGTCCTAGGTTTTATCAATAAAGGGCAAAGACACTTCCTGAAACAAGCTTGTGTCTACCGTATCTGCTGCGGGTTGCAATTATATGGAATGTTGGGTATGTTATAAGACCCAGTTTTAGATTATGAAGGTTAAAGTGAATCCCACCAAGCTGGTGTAAAAAATGTTGGAACAACTTAGACGAAAATTCTACTTATCAAAAAGTTCCTAGTTCCCCATTTTACTATTTTATGGAGACCCAGAATGATCTTGTTGTAACCTTTGGACATTCCTGTTTTTCATTACATTCTCCTACAGTATGAGATAACTGTAGCATCATTTTATTCATACCTCCATTCCTTGTTCTGGTCTTCTCCTCCTCTCCTCTGGCAGAGGGGGAACATGTACAAAAGTGCATTCACAAACCAGTCATGTAAATTTATTTATTTAATTTATATAGCTGCCCATCTCTCATATGTGACTCCAAGCAGCTTACAATGAAATAGGTAAAACAGATGAAATGCATAATATAAAAATAAAAACTCATAATAGCTGAACATCATGAAATAACCACCAACAAGCCAAAAGATGGGCTCTATCCCATATCCGGGGCCCCAGGCCTGGGTGCAAAACCAAGTTTTCAGGGTCTTAAGAAAGGCCAGCAGGGTCAGGGCTAATTTAGCCTCAGAAGGAATGACTTTCCAAAGGGTGGGTGCCACGGCCACATCAGAAAAGGATCTCCTCCTGGGCCCGGCTAGCCAACACTCCTTAGCTAACGGCATGCAGAATATGCCTCTCCTTGCCAGACCAATTGGAGAGATAGTCCCATAAGTAGCCAGCTCCTCCCCCTTGTATTATTGTTATCATCATCATCATCCTTCAGGTTACTGTAAGGTAGCCAACCAGAACACTTGACTAGCACTAAGCAGACGTTCCACATCCCATTTACTCTATTCCTCCCCAAGCTAAGAGAAACATTTGCTGTTCTTTTCATGATTGAGGCTTCAAAATTAGCTTTCCATGAGAGCACCTGACTAGCAAACAGGCAAGGGAAGTTCATGCTCTGCCTCCTCCATCCCCAAGAAGATAGGAAAAAACTAGTGCAGAATATACAATTAGCACATCCCAAGGGAATAACGGTAGCAACTAATTTCTTCCCCATTCTTCTTTGAAAGTCAAGCATTCTTTGAAAGTCAAGAAATCAAGAGCCAAGTCTTACATTGTCTACATACCTACATTATTCATTCATGCATGCATGCATGCATGCATCCAATTTGTATAGCCACCCAGAGTCCCTGAGGTGAGATGAGTAGCTCACAATTAAAGCGATACCCAAAACAAAAGAACAAATTAATAAAAAAGCCTGCAAACCCTCAATAAAAAAAACCACACATTAAAAACAGAAAAATCAGTGTTGGCATCCAGTTGGTATCTCACGCTCAGCAAAGCCATTGGACAGACTCTCCACTACCCCTAGACCCTCAAGCTGGTGGCAGAACCATGTTCTCAGAGCCTTCCTAAAGCCCAGTAGGTTTGATGTTCCAAAGGGCAGGCACCATGACAGAAAAGACTCTCTTCCTGGGTCCTGTCATATGACACTCCTTTGTACACAGGACCCTCAACGTGCCTCTCCTGCCAGACCTGATGGGATGAGTAGATGTAACCAGGGAGAGATGGTCCCTCAAATGTCCCAATCCCATCCCAGCTCCATGTAGACTACATTATAGCAATCCATTTGAGAAATGACCAGGGTACGAGTGATTAAGAGCAGAGTCTCCTGGTCCAAGAACAGGTACAACTGGTGCACAACATGAAGCTAACCAAAGGTCCTCCTGGCCACAGCTGCCACCTGCTCTTTGATCAGGAGCCATGACTCCAGGAGAGCCCCCAGATTGTGCCACCCCATCCAGAACCCAAGGTGTTAAGTCCCTGGAACCTGCAGGCCCTAAAGCCCAAAGCCACCCAGTCTTGCTAGAGTTGAGCTGAAGTCTGTTGTTCCCTATCCAAACCCCCACAGCCTCCTGTAATGGGCAGAAGGAATAACCTTGAGATACAAGAGGAAAAGCTGCAACTAAGACAATGGTCAGATTAAAAAAATCTCAGTCTGGGGCAGAAATGTAATTAGAGTAAGCATCTCAGACATGACCCTCCCTAGTTCTCATGAAGATAAAGGGAGCAGAGAGGAAGCACATTCAGACTTGCAAGATTCTTATTTATTTTATTATAACCTTATAATAAAAGTAGTATTAGCTTGCTTGTCTTTGGTTTCCAGGTTTGGCCTGCCTTGGAGGGGTGACATCAACCTTTTCAGCTGGAGAGTGGTAGGATCCATGGGCAAATAGAGGCTGCAAGGGCGGGATCCAATCCAAAGCTCTTGTCACCCTCTTGTTCCAGGCAGCAGTTAGAGCCTCAACCAGACAACTGAGCAGACCATCAGGAACAGCTCCAAGCTCCCTCTGGAATCTCTCAGAGAGAAATTAGTTCCCTGGGGGTATGGCTCAAATAGGTCCCATGTCTCTGCAGTGAGGCATTGCACCAGAGAACTCCAGTGGCTACCAGGGAGTGATCTGACCGTGACAGGGGAGCAACAGAGATCTCCCCCAATTCCAGATCACTGCTCCTACAGGAAGACCAGATCAGGTGTATTTTCACATGTCGGGCCTTGGATGATATGGGATAGGCCCATGGCTGTCATATGGCCATGAACTCCTGAGCTACCCCAGACCCGTTTCTCAGAGAAAGCAGATTGAAGTCCCCTAAAACCATAAATCTGGGAAACTCCACTGCCAGCCTGGGGAGGTTCAGGCAGGGAAGTTGCCATGCAGCAGGGAGACTGTTACAGCAGCAACAACTCCAACAAGCCAAGTGCCTTAAAAAGATTAACCCTATATTTGGTTTAATCTACAGGTCAGCACTGACACTGATTTGTGGGTGAGCTTTCACAAGGGCTGTGTTTCTTCCATAATACTAGCTGGGATGTTTTAATCATAGTAGTCTTTTTATATAACATGCTAAGCCAGAAGCAAAGAGAGCACAATATGTCTCAACCTTCTGTCAGAATCAGGCCATCGTAGCAGGAGAAAGGAATTCTCACACTTCCCCCGTGTCATTTTGTCATTGCCATCTCTGTGCCTGGCCTCCTTGGCAAAAGGATTATAGCTTTCCTGGGTTCAGTTGAAAATTTTTAGAGAAAAAGGCTTATTGCCAGCCAGCATGTATCAAAATAAGTAATGGGTCAGTGCAAATTTTCAATAATTTAACATGTCTCTTTAGAGAAGGTATCTCCCAAGAAATTTTAAAGAGAGAAAAAGTAAGGTTTTTTTTTCTTGGATGCGCTTTCTCAGATGACAAAAGCAAAGTGGATAATGAAAGGTGGCAGGGGTGTCTGCAGAGTATGATAAAAAAGGCAATGTTTTATGTGTGACCCAAGCAGGGCTTCAGATGCATCATCTGAAAGAAGCCCTTGAAGGAATCGTTGCTCTAATTGTCTCTTGAGCCCATCCCATGTAGCAGTGTCCGCTCTTCATGCTTGTCCGTGCTTACCATGGTTTAAGATAGGCAGAGGTCTCCACAGGGTATGGTAAAAAAAGGTCAAGACAGCAGTCACAATAATGCAATTGAAACTCCACCTGTTTTTATATGTGTTGCAAAGTTTTAATTTTAAAAAACCAGGTGGATTTTCGATAGCCCTGTGGGGGGCCATCATCTTGACTTTCTTTGAGCACACCTGTGGACATCCCTGATGAGAGGGATGTGCAGGTATTTGGACCTTTTGGTGCTTCAGGACCAGCACAGACACCTTTACTCTACCCGTCTCTACGTCCTTAACACTTCCTGAACTGAAACATGCATGGTTCATGAACTTTGCAGTACCATTCAAGACCAGGAAAAGGGAGCCTCCTTTAAGGTGTTGAAAGGTACAGCAGGTGCCCCCATGCCAGAGCAGAAGCATCTTTCCCACTTTCAATCCTAATATCTCATTCCTCTGCTGAATGAACTCCAAGAGCACAACATTTTAAGCCATACTTCAGTGTTTTGCGCTTGGGTTTTTGCTACACCCTAGGATAAAATCCAAGCAAATAACATCATATCTTAGTGCGATATATCAGCTCCTAAACCCTGCAATCATGGAAGTACAGAAGGAAAATATTCCTGTAATTTCAAGTGATTCACATGACAGTTTGAGTAGCTTTATTTTCAGAGGAGATTTGGTGCACCCTCCTTCCTTCCTTCCTTCCTTCCTTCCTTCCTTCCTTCCTTCCTTCCTTCCTTCCTTCTCTCTCTCTCTTTTCCTTCAACATCCCAAAGTCTAAAAAAAATAAGAAGAATAACAGGTAGGGAGCCTTTGGTAACATTCACTCCAGTCCTGATTTTTTTTACCTGTTCCTCCTGTTTCCAACTCTATATACAGACTAAATTCCCAGGAATGTCCTATAAGATCAAAAGACGGATTACATTCTAACCACAGAATGTGAACAGGAGCTGGGAGGATCATACGCTGATTCTTCTTTACAGTTGACCACTTCTGCTAGGACATTAGAAGTTTTCCAGAAGCAAATAAACCTGATTTATTTTTATTATGAGTATGTGGGTTTTTTTAACCGTTATGGAAAGAATTCCTACCGTGCCAAGAGTAAAACGCCAGATGCTATAAAAGATTACATGCAAACATTTCCCTTTATGTTCCCCACTTTCGTATCTTTGTTTGTGTTTCTTCTAGAAATTGACCAGGGAAGCTGTGGAGATCCTGGAATGCTGGCCTATGGCAAGAGAGAAGGGTCAACATTTCGCCACGGAGACTCGTTGACGTTTGAATGCCAGCCTGCATTTGAACTGAAGGGGCAGAAAACAATCACGTGTCAAAAGAGTAGCCAGTGGTCTTCTCAGAAACCAATCTGTGTTTGTAAGTCAGAGGGAAAGAATGCCCTTTCCCATTTAACAAGGGATATCTCAGGTGCTGTCAAGAGTGCACAATTTGACATGTTGGGTGCGGTAGAGATGGGAAGGAAACTAAACCTACAGGTTCCATATTTAAGCTAACTTTGAACTTCTGTTAACCCAAACATAGATAGTCTGGAAGAGTACTATGGTTCCAAGGACTAACAAACTCAGGCATGGAGAAGGAAGAACCAGCTGGTTGATTGGGGAGGCCCTGTAACTGGCAAGCAGAGAGGCCCCTGACACCCCAGAAAGTACAGATCTTCAGAAGAAGACACCATCCTTATGTCAGGAGCCAGCATTGTTTACAAGAAGCAGTCACCACTGTGCAAATTCACAATGCTGCACTGTGCCAAAATCTCATGAGATTTCCTGTGAAACCAGAACATCCGAGGCTTGGCTCTCTTGCAAGATTTCAGCCATCTCTCTGTATGTACTGGGGGTCTACCTACACCATCTAAATGATAGTGGTGTTATAATGTTTCTGGGTGCCACGTTGTCAGTCTGCACCTTAAATCCTTTCTGTCTTGCTTAGTCTGCTTGATTAGTGCAGGTAGCACCCACCCCTGACATGAGGTCATGGAGAGGGGACAGGTTAGACTTCAGAGACCTTTCCCCCAAAGCCTCTTCATTCTCCAACAGATAGGTTTAGTAATTAAAGAGGTACTCAGTGCCAGGGCTTAGCTAAAACTAAGCTCTTGTTAAGTTTGGTTTAAATAAGAGGTAGCTGTCTCAACTGATTTTATTTCTATAATGCCTTTCTTCCTGGAGCCCAGGGGACAGAATAAGAACAATTGTAGACTCTGACTAAGCCCAGCTTGATCCTTGTCCAAATTCTAAAGTACAAAGAACACTTTGAGGTACAGTGACTACAACCACCTTAAAAACCAACTCATGCATGGATTATAGACTAAAATAAATAACTGGTGAAAAATCTCTTCTAAAACTACTGAAGAGGCCCTTCTTTGGTGAGAGAGAACTGAAGAAACAGAGTTAATCCGGTACCTGTGTCTGTCTGATGGATGTTCACGATAGGCGGCAGGCAAGACCTGAAAGGATAATCTGAGAATCTAGACAGAAGCTGGCTGCCTGCCTGCCTGCCTCTGTCAGTGAACTCTTTATTTCTGCTTGTCATATTTTCCATTTAGTGGTTAATTGTCTCTTCATCCCTCTTCTGATCCAAAAAGGCAATTATTGCTAAGTAAAGAAATGCATAGGTGTAGGATAATAGGCAAGTTAGGCAAGCATTCTCTTTCGATGTGCTCTGCTTCTGGGGAGTTTCCTGATTCTCAGCAGGGAGAGCCTTGCTTCTGTGTGGAGACTTCTCCCATGAAAATGTCACTGGCAGCCATAGACTGAATGAGAGTAATTGTTTTTCTACAATGAGCCGTATCTGAAAAATGGTGGTGTCATTGCTTGGGCTAAAGGGTGCGTATTTGGGGAAAATAACATCTGCCTCCTCTGGATCTTAGATGCTCACCTAGGCTTAAGATTTGCAAGGATTATACAACCAACAAAGAAGGTCTGGAACAACTTTAGCTTGCCACGTAACATCCCGTGCAGGTTTTCTCTCTCTGTAGTGCTGGGCAGTACTTGTAGACTGGGAATTGTGTGTGACTCTGTGATGGAATGGAATTATGAAGGCCAGGCTCAGGGAGATAAACATTT